CATACATCCATGATCCATCCATCCACCTATCCATCCACAACCCATCCATCATCCATCCATACATCCATCTATCTGTCCATCATCCATCATCTATCCTCCATCCATCATCCATCCATCCATCATCCCTCCATCCATCCATCCATCCATTATGCAGCCATCCACAATCCATTCATCCATACATACATCCGTCCATCCATCATCTTTACCTGCATCTTCCTTTCTGGTTTGCGGGGTTTGTTGGTGTCCATATCCAGCAGTCACTGTGTGAGAGGTGGGGGACACATGGACAGGTCTCTAGTCCATCACAGGGACACCTGGACAGGTCTCCAGTCCATCACAGGGAAATTTTAGCTACCAATCAGCCAATGATGCAATCATGCATGTTTTTGGTCCGTGAGAGGAAACCGGAGTACCCGAAGAAAACCCATGTATGCACAGTGAGAACATGCAAACTCCACCCAGAAAGGTCCCTGGCCGGGATTTGACCTGTTGAACTTCTTCCTGAGAGGCAACAGCTCTACCCACTGAGCCGCTCTACTTTAGTTTCTTCTGTTCCTGCTGACATTTTGTGTACAGATCGATTTGACATCATCTCCTGTGGAAACAGAGATGTTTAAAACTTTAAAAGTTCAGTTACTTTGTGTTAAAGTTTTATTTACAGAACCTTTTGGACATTTGCAAAAACCTGACTGTTGATTCCACAGCAGCTCTGCTGTGCTTTAGGTCAGTTTGGGGTGTTTTAAGATGATCTGAGGTCAGTGACAGGGCTCTGGGTGCACAGTGAGCTGAATAAGGCACATGATTCTCCTCTGAACAGACGAGACGTTCCATCAGCACCTCAGAGCTCAAACACCTGGAGGAAGAGGAGAGGTTCAGTTCCTTCAGTTTGACAGCAGGAGAAAGAAACCAACCCCTGCAGACCGTAAAGACGGTGTTGGAGGGTCCGTGTTTCATGATGAAGACGTCGTAGGAGCCGTGTTTCGGATCAGAACAGCTGCCTCGTGTTTGTCTCAGATCAGTGAAGCAGAACCAAGTGAGAGCTGAATAAACTCGTTGAGAGCGGCACGATGCTGCAGCTCCTCTCTGACTCATTCATCCATGAGCTGAAATGTGCCGACAGCTGGAAACAGATGAGATCCTCACACCTGGAACAGCTGGAACAGAGAAAATATAGATCATCTGAGAGGAGACACCTATTCCTTTAAAATATCACGAAGCATCATTTCATATTCTTACTGCTCGTATTTTTCCTTTTCAACAGTTTTTATTTAGTTCACGTCTTTTAATTCTTTCTGTGAAAGCTGGACGCTGACCCACTGCAGCACGAAACTGAAGGATACCTCAGGAAACCCAGACCAACCCTAACTATAGGATTTATCAAACCGGAACGTCTTCAGTCTGGTCTTAAAGTCGACAGTGTCAGCCTCACGGACAGAAACTGGAAGAGACTGATAACTGAAAGCTCTGCCTCCCATTCTACTGTTACAAACTCTAGGAGCCTCAAGTAAACCTGCAGTCTGAGAGAGAAGTGCTCTGTTGGGAAGAAAAAACAAAGCTTTGGGTTTCATCAGATCCAGAATCTGGTCCAGTTCCCATCAGCTGATCAACTGCAGCATCACAACACGTTCACATTTATTTATTTTGTATCTGTTTACGGCCCAGACATCATCAGGAACAGAAACCTGGTCTCAGACTGTGAGACCACCTGGTCCAAACCTGACCAGTGAGATCCGGAGTGTTGGGCTGAAACTCTTGCAGGTTTTAGGTTTTCAGACGTGAATCATGTGAAGTTAAAAACTGTTCTCAGGTCAGCAGGACAGGATCAGACCTCCGTCTCCCATGTCCTGAATCAGATCACCTCCTCTCAGGTCCTGAACCAGACCATTGTCTCTCAAGTCCTGGATCAGGTTTCCTCCTCGTAGGTCCTAGATCAGACCTCCTTCTCTCAGGTCCTGGATCAGACCTCCTCCTTTCAAGTCCTGGATCAGACCTCCTCCTCGTAGGTCCTGGATCAGACCTACATCTCTCAGGTCCTGGATCAGACCTACGTCTCTCAGGTCCTGGATCAGACCTCCGTCTTCCAGGTCCTGGATCAGACCTCCGTCTCTCAGGTCCTGGATCAGACCTATGTCTCCCAGGTCCTGGATCAGACCTCCGTCTCTCAGGTCCTGGATCAGACCTCTGTCTCTCAGGTCCTGGATCAGACCTCCGTCTCTCAGGTCCTGGATAAGATCTGCAGAATTCCAGTTCAAGATAAAAATGAAAGTATCAGTGAGAAGTTCAGTCTAACGTTTAATTTCCAGTTTTTACTTTAAATATCTTCTGCAGAAATCGTCCTCCTCCTCCTCTTCCTCCCCTCCATCGCGCTCGTTAACTCCATCACCCCCGCCCCCCAACCTAGTCAAGTCTCCATTAATCTTTCACTCTAAATCTGAGCCGTTTCTTTTTGCTCTCATTCATCATTTAGAGATCTGATCTCAGACCAGCTGCTCTCCATCTCCCTCCCCGCTCCTCCCCAGCCTCCTCACCCTGCAAGGTGTTCTTCAAGTCACTTAAAGGTTTACTTTTTTACTGTTCATTCCTGCGCTTGAAACAAAGCCTCCAGGGTTTTCTGCTGAAAGGTTGAAGGGTGTCGATGAAGCTGCGGCTCAAACCTCCAACATTACTTTGTAACAATCGAAGAAAAAGCACCAACGTTTAGATGTTTCAACATTTGAAGCTAGAACATCCCTGATGTTTCTGGAGCCTGGGCTTTGCACTCTGGATTCTGGGGGATTGGACAGAAACCTGTTAGTCCTGAAACAGTGAGACGCACCTGGGGAAAGACCTACATTAAGACGTCCAAACAGAACCAGAAAGAGTTGTTCCTCAAAAATCATTCAGTAGAAACTGTGGTTGTGTAAAAAAAAAAGGTCAAGAAGTTGTTTCTGCTGGTCTGCTTCTTCCACTCGCTTC